TGTATTCCAAGCAATGCAACTTGAGAAGGTTCACACCGATGACAATGGGGCTGATATGTTGACTAAAGTGGTGACAAGGAAGAAGCTGAAGTATGCCGCCGGCTCGCTGGCATGGCTGCCGGAAGGCAGTCAGACCCTCCATGATGTCGGGAGGGGGAGTTTGTTGGGCTAAGTCCCTCCACATGGAGGTGTGTTGGCAGCCCAACATTAGCCCACACAAGTCCAACACATATGAACCGTTGATCTGTTCTGCATCCAACGGTTGTGAGTGTTTCCTGGTGAAGGGAGCAAGGAGAAAACCCTAGCCACCCCACCCCTGCTGGTGGTAGCTGCTATTCGTGAGAGAGAGAGCACACAAGAAAAAACACAACTTGAGAGAGAGGAAGAAGAGGAAGCAGAGGTTCTGTCCAGATTTGTTGCATCTGACTAGACAGTGTTCAAGCTGGTGATTGGAGGCTCAAACGTGCTTGGATCGACCCCAAACTTGGTGAGCTCATTCCTTACTTTGAGTACTTCGATTTGGTTAGCTGGTTTGAGGATTGGGTCAGTGGAGCATAAGATTTGAGAGTGGTTTTGTCAGCTCTGACTGCTGCAGTTTTAGAACAGAGTAGTTTTGGTAGACGAACAGTTTGGGTAGGCAAACGATGTCCGATTGAGCTGAAATTTGGAGGGGATCTCAGGAACTCGTGTGTCTACTTGTCTGCCAAATTTGGTGTTGTTTGGTTCAGCGGTTTAAGAGCAGTTTGCAAAACACTGGAGGGTACAGAAGCTGTGTAAACTCTGCTTTGCTGAAATCTTACTTCTTGTGGTTGTTGTTGCTATTGCCGGTTGGCAACGTGGGGAGTGTGTTGTAAATATCTCTAGAGGTTCTGGAGAATACTTTGTACTCATCATTCTCATAGTGAAGTTGTGTGAACCGGTCGGTCCACAGCCGTGTTTTTTTACTCCTCAAGTTGAGGAGGTTTTTCCACATTAAATCCTGTGTCACATGTGCATATTGTTTGTGTTATTCCGCTGCTTACTTGTTGGTTGAATCTGTCCTCAAAGTTCATCACAAGTGAAAGGGGCTGTGTAGTGTGCATATTTGCCGTGTCGGTGAATTTGTGCAGTGCATTGTTGCTGTCCAGGCTCAATAGGGGCAGGGCTAGAGGCATGGGCTTCTCTAGTCGTCGGCGGCACCCCATGGCGTCGGCTCCTCTGGTGTTCGGCGACGGTGGAGGGTCGAGGCGTCGTGGAGATTCCAAGTTTCCTACTAGGATAAGCATAGCAGCGGCGGCGGTGTTGTGCTCCTGCTTTCTTGTGGCTGTGCTGGTTCTTCCCAATCCCCTTTAGTTTGTATCCACCTGGAGCATAAACAAGCAGATATGCATATACGTCGGTTCTTCCAAACCAGCATCCCGTATTGTCCTCTTGGTTGCTATGATCTCCTCTCCATCTGTCCGCGAGAAATGGGTAAATAGCTTCAGCTTCAACTTGGAGATTGAGTTCCTTTTCTAATCCAGGATCAGTCACAATTCACAAACTAATGTGTGTGCATGTATAGCTCCTCGCTACCCCTCATATGCTGAGGCCCATTACATCGGTCCAGATTAGAACAGGCCGTCCTCTGTTTGTCAGAGAACAAAGAAAACTTTGTTAGGGCTACCGTTGGCGCCGCTGCCCCTACTGTTGTGCCCAGCTCCACCAATCTTGAACCTTTGGCTGCGTTCACCTCCGCCACGTAAGCACCTCCAGCCACTGTTACATGAATGTGCACCCTTGACTCCACTGCGATCAGCTACTTTCACGTTTTTTTTGACGCGTCAACGACGAGCTTACACCGGCCAGAACCACTTTATTACTCAAGCAAGCAAAACCGAGCAGTACAACAAGGAAACTGAGGTACACAGGGGGGCAGGGTGTTGGTAAAAAGAAAAAGGAGCTATTACAGTACAATCTCCTAATACATCACAATCTCCCAGTTAAATGAAACAACATTGTACCCCAATTACGGAACAGGTTCTGCATCTGACTATGTTTGCATCTGTTGGCCCACAGTTCGAGATCGTCAGCTGCAGCTCTAGCAACAGTGTTTAGGCCTTGTGCTTCATTCCTAAAAACTTTCGCGTTTCCAAATATTCCAAAGGGTGGCCAAGATCACCGTTGTTCCAGTTTTATTGGACAGAGCATCACGCCATAAGAGTTGCAGATTTTGAGGGGTGCCATCATGTAAGCTACCAAGCTCGTCCCAATGTGGTTTTAGCAGTTGAGAATTGAACAGAAGATGGTTGATGCTCTCGCATTGGTTGCAAAAAGGGCAAGAACATCAGAGAGTGGGAGAGTCTATTGGTGAGGTTAAGGTTTAGGTCATGGTGAGCAAGCACCCAGGCGACTGGTGCATGCTTTCACACCATCATCACTGGTATTGCTTGCTGAGCTGTTTGCCTCCAGCGCTAGCTGTGGCTCCACCACCACTGCATCTGTATGTCTCGTCGTAACTGCTTGTACTTCTTCGTGTGCCTCTAGCACTGCTGCTTCTTGTCGAGCCACCAACACTGATATTTCTTTCTTTGTCTGTTGACAAGTTTGTTGCTATTGTCAACATGGAAGGCCCTGAAAATAATGATGTACGGATTGGAGTAGAGACAAACTGGATGCCTAGCTGAAAACAACAATCATAGATATTTCGTCGATCTTGTGCAGCATCATGATCTAAGCCATATTTGATGAAGGCCATGATTCTTTTATCTTCCTGGCAAAATTTCAATGGTCTCCACCACTCCATAGGATTGAAGGCTTGATGAAACAAATTCTCGGTGATAGACTGATGGTAAGACCACTTGCTGAATCATGACGCGCAGTATCTGTCATGACGGCTTTTCAGCAGCGAAAGCCATGGTGGTTGTCTCTGATACCAACTATTGTGAACCTTAATTCACAACGGGATAACTACCCTGCTGAGGATAGAGCAGCTAGTACACGCGGACGAAACTGCCCTCCCGAGTCGCCCCCGCGAGGCGACCGGGAGGCGCCCCCAAATCCCCGCCGGCAGGCTTCCCGTCTCCCGTCCCTTCCCTCGCCGCCGCCACAGGGCGCGACCGGGCGAAGCCCGGCCGGCGCCGGCGCCGGCGGGGCCCCCTTTGCCTCGTCGTGCAGCAGTTCTTCGCGGGCGGACGTGGCTACTCCGAGGTGTGGTGCGGCGGCGACGGGGTACCACAGCGCGGCGCACGCCGGAGGTTCGAGGCGGCGGCAGATCGGCTGCGCGGTAGGCATTGGATGGCTGCGCATCGGCGACCTCGCTTCCCCGTGGCAGGAGGTCTCGCGATCTGGTGCGTCGCGGCCGCCAAGGACGGCGGCGGCGTGACCGGATCAGTTCGCGGCGGCGCGGCCGGATCTATGCCCGTGTGTGGGCCTTGATCGCTGGTCCGCCGTTGGCACGGTGGTGGGTGCGACTCGTCGGCAGCTGGGCAGATCCGCGGGATTCTACCCTTGTCTGGTCCTTGACAGCGCGGGCATCTCCGGGGGAAACCCTAGATCTCCTTGGGATCGAACGATGGCGGCGCTTTTGCGTCGTAGTCCCTCTTTAGGGCATTGTTTTGGAGTTTGCTTCAGTTGAAGGGACCAGCGACGTCGGCGGCGCACGTCTGGTGGAGCAACTGCCGATGAAAATCGCGCCGACTACGGTCATGGCGGACGATGGCGGCGTCTTAGATGTCGTTCCCTTGTCGAGGAATCATCATTGCAGTCTGCGTCATCAGGCTCGGGATGCTCCGGGGGAAACCCTAGATCTGGGTCTTCCGGATCGGACGATGATGGCGTTTTATCGCTTTCCCACCTGGGGGCATCATTTTGGAGTAAGTGCTGGCTGGGGGATGGTGGAGCGGTGCTTCATCTCACACATTGATGGCGGCGGATATCGGCGGCATGACACTATGGAGGCTCGACGTCCGATGCACGGAGATGGACTCGCGCAGGAGGAGGTTGTTGTCCGGCGTCATGGTGACGTCGATGGCAGAGTGGCCAGACAAGGTAGAAGCCTCAATATGATCTGAAGACGGACCTGTGGAAGATGGCGGCGACGACACACGAGTGCGTCTGACCGGATTGTGCCCCAGACCCGGTATGTGGCTCGGCTGGGGCTTCCGAATGAGTTTCGGCTTCCGGCTTTTGATGTTAGGCTTAGGTGAGTGGTTTGGGTAGTGGCCCAACTAGCACCCCTTCATCATTTTGGATAGGAGTAGTGGCATATGCTGCCAAGATGGTGGATTCAGGCACATTGTTGTAATACTTTGTAAGGTCCTCGAGAATAATCAATATAGTGGCCGTATGCATCTTCCAGATACAGAGGCCGGGGTCATCCTCCTTTTTTAAATAAAAAAAACCTGCTGAGGATAGTCAGATGACGTGGCTGCGAGAAATTGGGCAGACATAGGTTGAGAATATAGAGAATAACTTGGCAGAGAATAGATTGGTTCTTTTTGCTTGGCTCAAACATAGATACATGGCACCCTTGACCACTCCTAATACGACTTTGGACTAATTAGATCTTTCCTTATATAAGTTAACTCTATCTTAATCGTATACTTTTCTAAAGGACTCTCCTCTTTTACTTGTTGCTGCAAGTGTTTGCCAAACGCATGACCATCTCCTGCTGCAATATGACCATCCTGGTCTTCTTGCTATCCGGCCGGCTGTAATGCAAGTAGTGCTACTTTGATGTATTGTACTAACGTCCACAACATTACCTAATACTAATAGTGATCTATCTTCAATGCTTAGCTTTGTTCATGACCATCTTAGGAAAACATTGTGTTTGAACATATATCATTTCCTTATAGGCTTTCGTCTCTACTCCTGATATATCTTTTGGGTGATAATGTATGATGGTTTACTGAGGACTTAGTTCCATCTGTACAATCAATTTAACTCGACATGGTTTGTAAGAAGTAAGGTTATGATTGGCAGTCTCCTTCTGTTACTTGTTATGTTTGTGAACTTACTTCATACCTTACTGTATCCAGGGTTTTGTTGAGGACGAGTTTGGCCTTGGATTGATTGCTCGTGCAGTTGAAGAAGGGATAGCTGTCATAAAGCCTATGGGTATTATGGTATTCAACATTGGTGGTCGACCAGGACAAGGTGTCTGTGAGTGCGTATTTCTATGCCGTGGATTTCACATCAAGAAGCTCTGGCAAACAAAAATTATGCAGGTAGTCTTGCTGTGACGAACAAATATTAAATAATCAGATCGTCTTTGTACCAGTATTATGTCCTGATTTGGTCTATATTATTCACTTTGAGTCGAACAACAACATTCAGTAGGGCCTAGATTTTGTAGCTAACAGCTGTTGTTATATGTTGGAATGCCATTTTTGTTTGCCATGTTTAACAACTAGTTGGATTCTTTGCAGGCTGCTGACACTGATATTTCAGCTTTAGTTGAAATTGAGGAGAATAGCCCACATCGATCTGAGTTCTTCATGGATCTAGTTGGGGATCAGCCTGTCTGTGCACGTACAGCCTGGGCATACATGAAATCTGGTGGCCACATTTCACATTCTTTATCTGTGTACAGCTGTCAACTTCGCAATCCCAACCAGGTTTCTTTCTGTTCTTTATATTATACTTATAAAGCAATAACACAGAGATGTAATAGTAGTAACTAAAAGAAAACTTTCAGGTGAAGAAAATATTTGAGTTTCTTAAAGATGGATTTCATGAAGTCAGCAGCTCCCTTGATTTGTCCTTCCACTACAACAGGAACCCCTTATAGCAACGCATTTTTCCGTATCTAAATGTCCATATATCCGTTGCTAGTGCACTTACCAACGGTTTGGGATGCGTTGCCTTATCCAGTGTTGCTACCGCATGATGCAACGCTTATACTTCCGTTGGTAAAAGGGACCATTGCAAGAGTACAACACATAAAACTGACTTTGACAACACTTCTATATGTTGTGCTTAATATACAAGAATCCAAATTTCATTGTTTAGCAACAAAGAATTTGCAACGCTTGAGGTGTTGGTACATATATAATGTAAATATTATTATATATATTGCCATCAATTAAACTAATGCTCCACATAATTGTGATAATTATGTATTGAATATGCTCCAACAGTGACAAAACAATAAGAGAATATACTCAAAAGATGAAGAAATCATATATTGAATAAAAATGTTGGATTACAATAGTGGATATTACAGGAGGAACATCATTCCAACGTGCATAATCTATATATTTTCTTGACATCCCTACAACTTAAGTAAAACTTAACCGAGGAACATCATCCAACATGAACAACATCCGTACAACTTAACTAAAACTAAAAGCATCAATCTTCATCATCATGAACTGGACCACCACCACCATCATCGTCATCATTGCAGTATACTTGTCACACACAAATATAACCATCCATATCTTCTGAATCTACAAAGAAAATAACAAAATGAATTGTTAACACCATGAATTGACATGATGCAAGCAGTGATAGAGATAGGTTATTAGTCACGTACATATGTGGAAGGCCATGCATTTTTTGTTATACATAACAAATTACTAGCATACATACATGGAAATGCATTCATAACTTACCTCAAGTGTTGAGGGTTCAGGTCACATACTTAACTATATGAGGCTAATATGGGCATCTTAGTGTATGGCAGAAATCATTTCCTAAGTGTTTACATTTGCTCTGATTGCTTCCAATGTTGAACATATCAAATGGGACAAACATACACATTTTTTATGGCATGCGGTGCGAAATGTGTTGGAGCAACACGAACCTGCACCAATTGTTGTCGTTCCTTCTCCCACGTCCTCATGAGATCCTGGTCCAAGCATGAGTAAAGTATAAGAGAGTACAAATAGACCTCCAATTTGTGCTTGTAAACATAATTTAAACATTAGTTACACACCAATTGTGGTAAAAGAGCTAATTAAGTTATTCAACACATCAAGCTGGTTACCATGGTAATTCGTGTTTGGATAAAAATAAATTATTCCAGACAAAATCAATGCTTATGCAGTATATAAAGACAGCGAAGGACCTAAATATGAAAATGTTAGGAAATGATGGAGAGACATGCTTACAGTTTCTCTGAAGCTTCAGACTTTTCACACAGCACAGTATATGCGCAATGACCATTACTAATCACAACAACTCTTTAACTGGAGTGTGTATAATTTGCACAAGACATGCAGCTATCATAATTCAAAAGCCTTGTGCATGCATCTTTTATTGTTTCAGAACATGAAAACAGTAGAAAAATCATCAGTTTTGGAACAAAATTAAGGACTGCTTCAGAACCACACATCATTACTCATGATTTATAAAATCTAGCATACTCCGGAAAGTAGCTTAATTACCTTATTATGTTTTCTACAAGTGGCTGCTCTGAAATCCAAATAATGAAACTGCAGAGGAACGATATACATGCTGTTAGAAACAAATGTTTAGAATATTGCTCCCATAATAATGATTGCATATGAATGTTTCGTTTTATATTGAAACCTCATCAATCAATCTATGATGTAAATATGAACCTGTACAAATCAAGTACTCCTTGCTATTAGCATAAGTTTTGCATCGTCAGTAGGATTGTAGTCTAACTATCAAATAAACCAAGTAAAAGTTATGCACAGCGTTACACATTATTTCAAGAAAGTTGGGAAGCTGATATGCTAAACATCACATTATAGAAAACTAACGGGGTTACCCACGCATTTGCGCGGCTAGATTTTTACACATGATTTTAATATTTGAAAGTTGTACATCAATATTGTTCATATTTTCTCAATGGATTGTAGTAAAAATTTAACTCATTTCTAAGGTGTGATAAACAAATAATAAAGTTTTTTATGTAACATAAATCTGAAATTTAAATATGGTTCAAATTAGAAGATAGGATCTAAGAAGGCTATATTGATTCCACTTATGCATTAGACATGCCTTGTGTTGTTACCTTTTTATTTTTTGAGTCGATGTGTTGTTACCTTAGTAAAGTATAAATATGTCTATTATAAAAACATTTTATTACTGAGTTTTTGAAATTTAATTATAGCATTACGTACATGTTGTGCATTTGAATTGATATTTCTATTACTTTAAAAGACCCGATATATTGCATGCGTACATGCATTATACTCCCTCTAAACAAATATAAGAACATTCAAATCACTACTTTAGTGATCTAAATGCTCTTATATTTCTTTACGAAGGGGGTATATTTTCATTGCTTGTAATTTAGAATGCATATACCACGAACCTGATTGCACCACTTTTGCGTTCAACACGTACATATGCAAACCTGGATGTATCCGTATGTGACATGTGAAAGTATTTGGATGTTTTGGTCTTTATCATTTGCTTCGTGGTCCAATAATATTTTAAAAATAGCGTGTTCTAGTTTTCCATGCAAGAAAGGCTTTGGTTTCTACCATATAATGTCGCCTGCAAAGAGACATTGTTTTACCATACTATTTGGCATAGCCGTGTTGGAGCTGGACTCTTAATCTTCTGTTTTTATACGCTGGCTGAAAACCTATGTGACACATAGTTGTAGTTTTTCAATTAAGAGGTACATAGTCGTGTAGGACTTGGACTCTAATTCACAACCGTTCTTACAGTAATTAAATCACTACCGTTCTTTCGAGCTCCTTTTCTACTGTTATATCTTAGCCGTTCGTTTTCTATCGTTTTAATAGTATAATAGATAGATTATGTAATGACTCAACATCATAGCTTATCTTAATGATGAAACCCAGAAGATATATAAAATATACGAGGAAGTTGACTACAGTTCCAGTGGGTATACATACAAAACGATCGTGAAGTTCTCAAATTTTGTATATGCAAAAATCAACTAATTAATTACTTTGGCGAGCGTGGACTGAGATTGAAAATCGGCTGTAAACTGACATATTAATATCAATAGTCAACTAGGTGGCTGGTGTTTCAGTTATTGACGTAGCAAATACAACCTGAAAGCAGGATTCCATATTGCCACTGGATGCCATGAAGACCACCCCTCGTGACTCTTCTCCACTCCATACAGGGCATAACGGGGTCAACAACGGAGCTCATAGAAACACATATACCTAACCAATTACTTCATCAGCTAATCTATACCAAGAAAAATCATTGGGCTTTCAAGAAGAATTCAACGCTCTAGCTAGCTACAGAACACAACATGAAATCTAGTGATACAGCCTTACTCGCCAAGGTCAGGTTAGGAGTAACGGCCGATGATGTAGAGATGTTTAATCGCCTCCTGACAGGCCACCGTACAGCTGCGCGGTAGCCTTGTTGCTCCCCATCTTCTTTAAACTTTCGCCGCTGGACTTCCAATTCCACTGCAACAACCATCATGGCATTAATGCTTTTAATCAGCCTAGGGAGAGATACGGTGGATTGGAAGAAGAGAAGATTGAAATGTCTGAGTCTTCGAACCTTTGTTTCTAACAACAATAACAACAATAACAAATTGACCTGAAGCAGCAAGCACTTAAGCCCAAACATTGGCAAATCCTAACACCACCAGAAACACAATGGTTCCTGATGTGCCACGGAGCAGATCAGAGAAGAGTGGACCAACTCACATGAAGCCAGGGGAGGAAGCTCCATGGATGCTTTGTCCCGATCAGTATCAAGGTTGTCCACTAGCCATTCCTCCTTGTCCCTGCACGTCTATAGGAGAAGAGAAATGCAGAGGTTAGAGAAAGGCGGAGAGAGAGAGAGAGGACGAAGTAAGAGGAGGGGATGCACTCACCAGACGAGATGAGGACGACATGGCCTCCGGCGCCGGAGCCGACGCCCGAAACCCTAGCCATGGGGGGAGGGTCGCGGGTGGGCTTTGGTGGCCGCGAGCGCCAGATCTAACCGGATGGGAGAGCGCCGCGGTGCGAGGGGACCTCGATCTGTGCTTCACGGTCATGGGACTCGCCGGACGTCGCCTGAATCGGCCACCGCAGGTGGCGCAACGAGGAGCCGCGTGAGGAGAGAGGGATGGGACGCGAAAGGGATGGGTGCGTGGGGGATGCGGCGGATCCGGCAGCCTCCGATGCTGCGAGGTGGGAGGAGGCGAGGGGGAGGGCCGGCGGCAAGATGGGTCGGAGGAGGGGGCCGAGGTGGTGGGTGGCGGCGGTTTGGGAGAGATGAGGGGAATCGGGGGCTGTTCCTTTTTTTTTAGAACGAGAGCTCTGTTTTTAGCGCATCTCTCCCCTCTCCTTTTTTTCATAGGTAGGGTCATGAGCTGTAAATCTGGAACGCATACGCTTCAACGCTTATATCCGTATCTATAGTGAATGTTGCAACATATAGTTAAAATGTTGTAGAATTTGCGTTGCTTTATATGGGGTATCCTTGTAGTGTTCGATGACGATTCTGTTGCTGATGAAAAAATTCCCTTCCTAGCATACCTAGCTAGTTTTTTGAAAGATAATAAAACCAATCCTTGTGAGCCTCCAGCTGGATGTCTAAACTTCCGGAATCTTGTTGCTGGATTTATGAAGTGCTACCACCACATCTCACTGACATCTGATGTAAGATATGGTATTTGTTGCCTGTTTACAACTACGTTTGCTTACTAGAAATTCATAAGATCTATCTGATACCCTTTTTTTATTCTGGTCACTAGAATGTTGTTGTATTCCCTTCCCGTGCTGTGGCATTAGAAAATGCTCTTCAGTTGTTCTCACCGGCCCTTGCAATTGTTGATGAACATCTGACCAGACATTTGCCGAAGCAGTGGTTAAGATCTTTAGCGATTGAGGTACATTTCTCTCCGTCTATGAGCATTGATCTTCCCATTCAGACACATGATATGCAATCATCCATATGTGCCTTTGCGTGTGTGATGCAATCACCTTTCCTTTGTGCAAGATCTGATCTCTAGTTCTGTACTAGCTGGATGAGTCCTCCAGTCTACTTTATTTTCCTCTTCTTTCCACTCTCTACCCCCCCCCCCTCCTGTTATACATCCACCTTCCCCTCTTTATATATATGTTTCCCTACAGTTTTCCGGTAAAAACAAGGTCTCTAGTACTTAACAGTGTCACATCCTTTCATTTTCTTTTTAATCTTTCTCAGAGGGACAGTAGAAATGGCATGTTCGTTCTATGATAAAAGAGTGGATGGTGATAAGACACTCATTCTATATAACACAGTAATGTAGATGCTACTGCTACTTCTTGAAATTTCAGGAAAGAGCAGACGGTAAAGACACTATCGGTGTAATTGAGGCACCACGCCAATCAGATTTGCTGATCGAGTTGATCAGGAAATTGAAGCCTCAGGTTGTTGTTGCTGGTATGGCTCAATTTGAGGCTATCACCAGTGCTGCTGTTGTAAATTTACTAAGCGCAACGAAAGATGTTGGTTCTCGGTTACTCCTAGATATATCAGAGCATCTGGAGTTGTCTAGTCTGCCAAGATCTAATGGTGTATTGAAATATCTTGCTGGAAACTCCCGACCTTCCCATACAGCTATACTGTGCAGTTTAGTAAAGAATCAGGTAACCGTAACTTAACCACATCATTTGATTTCCATTGAATGGAACTGTATTTGAACTTCTGCGCATACTTACATATATACTTTAAAACAATTTCCAGATGTTTTCATTTGCATTTGCTTTATCTTATTTTCGATTAAAACTTTCAGGTATATCCTGATCTGGAAGTTGCTTTTGTCATTTCTGAAGATGGAGCTGTCTGCAAGGCACTATCACAAACTATTGAACTATTGGAAAGGCGTACCTCTGTAATCAGCCAGCACTATTATGGCTCTCTTTTCCATGAGCTGCTGGCTTTTCAAATTGGTGAGAGGCATCGGCAACGAAAGGTAAACAGGATTAGCAGTCTCTTAGTTTGATAACACCTAGTCAGGAGGACCAGCTAAATGTATTAATGGGAATGCTTGGTTTATAATTTCCATCTTTATTTCTTATTAGGCGTAGAATTAATGTGGAATGACCTATGGGATATCCCACTTCAGAAAATGGGGACCTATGGAATATTGTGTGACCTTTTTTTTTGAAAAGGGGGGATCCCCGGCCTCTGCATCAGCACGATGCATACGGCCATAAAAATTCAGCTACGGAATATTGTGTGACCTGTGTTTTCTTTTCTTTGATCTTTTTCAGACACGACCTGCAGAAGTGATACCTGAGAAGATGATAGGATTTTCAAATTCAGCTATCTCTATCCTAAAAGAAGCTGACTTTTTTGTTCCTGATTCCAAGGAATCTGGCGTCATTCATATGGATTTAGATCGTAGCTTCTTGCCAGTACCTTCTGCAGTGAAAGCCTCCATTTTTGAAAGTTTTGTTAGGCAGAACGTCACTGATTCTGAAACTGATGTCCGTTCCAGCATCCAACAGCTAGTGAAAGATAGCTATGGTTTCCCAACAGACTATCGTTCTGAAATTATATATGGCCACACCTCCCTTGCACTCTTCCGCAAACTTGTTCTTTGTTGCATGCAAGGAGGTACTTCCCTATTCCCCTTGGGCACCAATGGTCACTATGTCTCGGCAGCAAAGTTTATGAACGCACGTACGCTCACTATTCCAACAAACGTGGAATCAGGCTTCAAAATTGAACCATTGGCTCTGGCTGATGCAATTTGCAGTGTGAACGCATCTCGGTCATGGGTTTATATATCTGGTCCCACAACAAATCCTTCTGGTTTCGTGTACAGTAACAATGAGATAGAAAGTTTGCTCTCTCTTTGTGCTAGTTCTGGAGCTAGAGTAGTGATAGATACCTCTTTCTCTGGTCTGGAGTTCCAAACTGATGGTCGGAATCTGTGGGAGTTGGATTGGTTTCTTTGTGATTTAGATCCCAAACTCACCGTTTTCCTACTTGGAGAGCTGTCCCTTGAGCTAGCTACGGCTGGTCTTGACTTTGGATTTCTAATTTTGCATAACCCATACTTGATTAAGTATAGTTTCCCAAGCTTGAGCCGTCCACATAGCACATTAAAGTACACTTTCAGAAAATTATTGGGTCTTAAGAACCAGATGGATGAGCATTTCTCTGATCTAATAGTGGAGCAAAAGGAGACACTGAAGAACCAGGCCAACCAGTTGATGAAGGTTAGTCTCTTGTAACATTCTGAACCTCCTTATGTACTTCATTTCACTTGTGAGGTTTTGATCCCGTCTAAAACTTAGTTCATGGACAAAGATTGACAGAACCATATCCAGATCTGAGTGACTTGAGTTCTTGTTGGCAGTCAGTGTATCCAACTTTTAGTATGACCCTTGCTATCACATTAAAAAAGATATATAAATAATTGCAACTAGCTAGACATACTTTTTGCACATCTGTAAGGTAAGGGCTTTGAATTGAACATTGTGTAGTTTGCAAGGCATGCCTTGTGGCAATTTCCCCGCTCTTATTATCTTTCTCTGATGAATTGAACATACACTTGAGAGCTGTGGGTGGGATGTTGCTGGCTGTTTAGGTGGTATATCAATGGTGGCGAAACCGGCAGCCTACATTGGGAAACCGTTCAAGGTGGACAGCTTCGAAGAGGAGCTCGACGGGTGCAACATCAGGGAATCCATTGTTAGGTCCACTGGGCTTTGCATAAGCAGCAGCTCATGGACGGGGATGCAAGACTACTGCCGGTTCAGCTTTGCTCTGGACAGTGGTGAATTCCAGCGGGCAATGGACTGCATAACAAGGTTCAAGGAGTTTGTTTTGTGAGGAGGCGATGCTCGGATGAAGGGTAACTCGCTAGGGGTTGGGTGGTTCCATAATGGAAGGAAAAGCCTCAAAGAAACATACATAAGAAAGGATGTAATTGTTTTGTTGTGAATGCATGTATGATGGGCGATTGTTGGAAGGTTGTAGATGTTGTTGAATGGTCCAATAGCAGCAGCACTTGGCATAGTTAGCGATATCACTTTGACTTGTTATGATGGCATACTAGCAAGCTAGCTAGTCTGAAATTCTGATTTTCTTCTTGTTAGGTAGGTTATTATATGTGACATAGCAAAATAATAATTTTTGATTAGTACAAACGAACCCGATTAAAATACTAGGCAGTGTGAATTGAATTAATACGAGCCATGCGTCGACTAGTAGGCGCATGCAGTGCCCAATAACTTGGTTGGGGCAACCGATCAAAAACCGAAGCGAAACGTTTGTGACTGTGATTGAGTTTGAGAAGATCTCGCAAAAAAAAAGGTGAGTTTGAGAAGAAGAAATCCCGATCTGTTGGAACGCCAGCGTGACCAGAGAGAGATTCCTGGCGGAAAAGGAGGAGGCGTCCACAACCACAAGGAAGAATTCCCTCACAGGGCCGGGGAAGAGGGACGAGGAAGTTGCAGACAATAAGACATACCATTAAGCTCAGTATGTGCTGATCCTCGCGCCCACGCACCTATACGATCTGCTGCTGGCTGGCTATAAGACTAGCCACAGTGGGAGTAAGTTCAACAATAACATCAAGTCCAACTAAGTAAATTTGTTTATGTGGCAATGAGTTAATGAGGAGAGAGGTAGTTTGAGTAACTTAGCTAGTTACCGTAACATCACATGTCCTAATGCACTATGAGTCTATAACCTAATAAATGAAGCTTTGCATGACACCGCACTTATGTTACTACCCGATATGAAAGTAGTAATATAGTCTAGGGATATGTGTAGGTTACTAGTGTATGTTACTATGCACTGTGGCTAGTCTAAAAGGAGAGCCTTCCTACAGTGATTCCTCTCCTCCTCATCCTCGTACTGCTGCGAGCCACTGCCGGCGTTGCAAGGTGCGTCCTCAGGGCCGACCTCGACATCAATTTCGACCTCTTCGTCACAGGGAGGGACTACCTACAAGTTGAGGAGGTAATGCCTGCCACAAGCTACTGCTGCTGCTTCCTCTCCCCTGGCCGGCTGCATATTTTAATTTTGACACATCTGTCCTCTGCTTCTCAGGTGTGCATCAGGGTCGTGGGGTTGAGCAGCTACAAGGCGTATGGCAAGCCGGTGATGGCCAAGCAGACGGGTGTTACTATAGTTTCTTGTATTTAAGACCCTAAGATGATAATATTTTTTTCTTCAGTGATTATATATCAAGGCGGTGTG